CCCTCTTATATTCCATTCACCACCACTATGGTAAACATTATATTTAAAATAAAACAACTCAAAAGCATGCCTTGTTAGTCCAAATAAAAACTACAGAAAAATAGCATCGTAGACATTAGAGACAGATAAAACAAAACTAAATTAGTAGCTGCTGTTATTCGTACATAATACTACAAACTTTTACTTACTGGGTAACCAAAAAAAAAAAATCATAATTCAGAAATAAAGAACCCAACAAAAATGTTAGTTCAGAACACCAATAAATATCCAACCAAAAGCTTCAAAATGTATGTCACAAAAACAACAAAGAAAGCCACACCACGGGGGGGGAAGCAAATTTTAGACGTTATCTCTTTCTCCTCAGCTTAGGGAAAGAGGGGGGAAGAGGGGGGTGTAAAGAAAAAGCAGTACAACTTCCAACTTCCAAAGTGTTAAAAAAAGAAAGAAGAAAAAGTAAAATAGTTTGTTGACTTTGACTGAGCACAACTCAAACAGTATAGATAGACAACACACAGCCGCTTCTCGTTCTCCCACACTCACGCTATTGTTTACTTCTTGTGTCTTACAACAAGGGTGAGGAGCCAGGGGGGAGGGGTGGACGGGAAAAAGGGGGAGGGGTGGACGGGGGGGTGAGGATTTTTAAAGCTTGTTTCTTTGTCTGTTTGCTGTTTTTAATTTTATTGTGTTTTTCCTTAGACTATGATCCGACTTTCCACCAACCTCGTGTTTTTCTTGTCCCTGAATGACTTCTTTTATAGGCCTAGATCTAGTCTAAAAGTAAAAGTGCATGGCTAAGGGCAATGCCAATTCGCGTTGTAAAAATCATTTGATTTCCTTTATCTTGTTTACACTGATCTTTGACACTACTCTGACCCAATAGGCCTACATGGTCACAAATCTTACACATGGAAATATGCGTGGGATGGGAGTGAGGCGGAGTTGGGTTGGGGGCGGGGGGCAACGGATAATTCTGTCGTCGATGTGTTGAAAACCCTCTCTGGGAAGGGCACATATTTTCCTTTGTTAAAGTTGAAACGGAGCGTCTCAAAAAAGGTTTCATGAAGTTGTATTTCATAATTTATCCGCCTGGACGCTCTATTCGTTCAGATAAAATTTAATGAGGCCTACTCAGTTGAGCACTAATAGTCAAGCTATGACAAAATGTGAGTAGTGTTGTAATGTAATAAGTAATATAACGTAAAGCGCATAGAGCTTGCTGTCGAGCGAGGATTCGCGCCTCTACTCGTATTATCATTATTACGGCCAGAATGTAAGTAATTGAACCATGGAAGTACATGTACTACCAGCATATGAGTAGTGTTGTCTAATATTGGTGTGTCTTTCAGCTGTTATACTCTCGCCCACTTTCGAAAACCATCATTCAGATTGCTTTGAACCAGATTTCGAGAAGAAATTATGGGCTCATCGAATCAAGACTTGCAGGCCGCCCATTCCTGAGACACCGAAAAAAGAGGAGCGAAGAAAGCCTGAACGGTAAGGGAAAACTCGCGATTTTTAGGGGACATCTAGATCTAGACATCTCTTCCTTTAAAAAAAAATAAAAACGAAAAACTTCAAAAAATCAAAACTTTGAGATTTTCAGAAAGCGGAATTAAACATCTGCGAATTTTAAAATGTACTTATTTATCTTAAGCAGAACTTGTTTTACTTTTTAAAATAGTAAGAGTCCTTCTGTCTCAGTGTGTTTGTAGTTTTTTCATGGGATATCTAAATTGCGAAGCAAAAGCGAAAAGATAAATGATCAAAAAAGAACCTAAAATAAAGAAAAAATTGCCCGTAAACAAATGCTAGCGGGTCTTAAACTTAAAACATTCAAATGAATCTGGGAACAAACAACAAAGTGGAACAAATAGGAACACAGCAATAATCAAAAACCAAGCTAAAAAAGCAAACAAAGGATAGGGCAACAAAACTATAAAAATCAAAGAAACCTTAGTGGCCCTGTTAGGAGCAGAACGTTAGACTGCTAATCAAAGGAATCAGCAGGTATGAGTAAATCATGGTGAGCGAAAGCAGCGTCCCGTATGGGTCTGGGAGAAGGGGAGGAGTACACTTACCATTACTGGTGCACACAGGGGGTAACTATTTTGACTGCAGCTTTGGGCCATACCACTGCAGCTGGTGGGAATTGTGAAGTAAGGTAGTAGTCCTTTGTTCTGCACGGCCACTATATCACACGGTTTCAATACCAAGTTACCACAGTTAGAAGAAGTAGAAGCAGTTATCACCACTGAAGCATAAAAGGGATACAAATAGAACTATAATGAAACATTTAAGCCATCTTTTCACAATAAGACTTTTAGTACATACCTGCATTTAGATAATATTTCTTATATAGAATATCCGAACAACAAACACAGAAGAGTAACTAAAACCGAGGAGTTGTGAAGAGTAAGAATAAAGGTTCCCACTTTTCCTCTGGGTTATCAAGGGAGCAACACTAGCAGCAGCAGCTATATCCCACTCAGCAGCAACACGCGTAGTTTTAGAAGCGCACGGTAGCTCTCGGTGCTGCTCACGCTCATTGAATGGATCGCCTTACGCATGACCTCAACATAAATAGCATTAGGCCAGAGCTCCCGTAAATTAATCCTCGAGCCTCAACAGCCAATCAGATCCCGGCAAGCAGAACGCCTGTCAATAACGGCCCGCGTAGCCAGCATCTGGCTCCTCTGGTGGGCCAATCCAAGCTGTGATCGTGCCGCAGGGTGGGGGCTCTCGGCGCTTTCTCTTTTGGCTCTCTTCGAGTTTTTGTCTTGCCCCACGCGCTTTTTTTTCTTTCTTCCTCTCCGCTCTAACTTCTCCCCTACCCACCCCCATTACCCCCTCCCCCCGTCCCCTCCCCGTATCCCCACGTTCGTTCGGTTCCCATCGGTTGTGAATGTTACTGCTTCGGAAATTGTTCCATTTATGAGCTATTGAATAATGCAATCTGACTCAAAGCGTGGCCGTCAAAACGAGCGAGTGTTGACGGTGTAAAAGAACATTGTAGCTGACTTGTATGACGCACTAACGCAGAGAGTGACGGCGCACGATTACTAAATTCTAAATTGAGAAGAATTTATACAAAAACAAATTCTAAGAAGGATGAATAAATACACGAACAAAATTTCAAACAAATGATCAAAATAAAAGTTATGGTTTCGAATCAACCAGCACAAATAACAACCAGAACTTCGCCCAACCCAATGCGCGCGATATTCTATAAATATAGATCTAGACCTCGTGGCTTTCAGAATACGCGTAACAGGCACGATTTGAAAGAGAGGACTTTCTCTACAGAAGTTCAGCATACAACCAGACACGGTTTAGATCACTTTAAATCAAAGGAGGATGACTTAATTTACACCTCCCCCCCCACCTCCTCCTCTCCTCTC